TTCTCTTGTGCACGCTCATAAGCGCTCGGACAATCCCCTGAAAGTCAAGTGCGCTAACGGCTCTACTTTTGCCACGGACCGCATGGTCTTATGGAAGGTAGTTCACGACGGTGAGCTCAAAACATGGTGGTTCTACGTTACCAAGCATCTCTCCCATGCGGTCATCTGCGGCATGGACCTCTTGCGTGGTCTTAGCTTCACGTTGAAGATGTCACCAGGATCTCAAGAGGTCTCAACGAATGCCGAGCAGGGTGAGGTTGGCTGTACCTTCACTTCGATAGTGACTATATTGAACACCATTTCGCAACGGTCTGAGGTTAACTCGAGGGACTTTGGCCAGGATACTGTGCTCTGCTCATCGGAGAAACCGGTACAATTGTTAGCAGACGATACTCTGGTCGACATCGTCCCGGACATCTCTAGTCTGCCAAACTCGCATCCTGAACCAATACAGCGGCACGTCCATCGCATTCCATGGGTGAGCGAGGCGAGGCCCAACCGTAGCCGGTCTCTTAGACGTGCGAAGCAGATGTCGAGGAAGCTTGAAGAGAAGCTGAGGAAGGACCCAGTGGCGTACCGACAATGCTGTGAGCAGATCGACATGTTGGTGAAGCGTGGGTTCGCAAGACCGGCATCCGAGGACGAGATCAATCATGCTTACGGACTATTGGTGGTTCGTCGAGCTTCTTCGTCCACGACGCCTATGCGTGTGGTATTAGATGGATCTACTTTGCGAGGGTTCGTTTCAGCCGGAGTGATATATGATCGGTCCGTGGTCAGTCCGTTGTTGGTACTCCGCCGCTATGCTTTCTTCACGCTAGCGGATCTAGAGGAGGCCTTCTATTCACTCTCTATTGTCAGCACCGACTGTGGTGCTCAAGGTTACTACTGGGCTGGGCAATGGTACATACTGCTCCGAGCGGGCATGGGACTTCCCGCTTCGCCTTCTATGCTGCAAACGTCAATGCAGGTCACTCTCAAAGAGTTTGATGATCACGTTGCTCCTACTCTGCTATTGGCATCGTACTGCGTTCGGTCCTTTATGGATGATATTGCACAAGGAGCTAGTTCTGTAAACGACAGAGACCTCCTTGCCGAGGGAGTGAACACCACGATCACTAAGAATGGCTTCTCTGAGCAGCGACCTAAGAGGATACAGAATTGGGTGAACGGCGTGGATAATGAAGACGACAAAGCCGGGGCGCTGTTTGGGGTCTTGTGGAACCCGCAGACGGACTCCTTATCACTGGCGGCGGTCCCTGATCTCGGTCATGCAGGAAGTGACAAAGGCCGATCATCGAGTCTAACACTGCGTAAATATATCTCCTGGTTGAACTCTCACTTTGACCCGATGGGGTTGAGGCTTGAGGAAGCCATGGCAGGTAGGCAGTTGCTGCGTACAGCTGTTCGTTCGGGCATCTCACTCGATGATCCTTTCCCAGCTGAGCTTGTGAACAGGGCTCGGGCGTTACATGATACGTATGAAACGGCTCGAGCAACTCCTCGATTCGTAGAGGGCGAGACTCTCGTGGTTGCATGCGACGCTTCACTGGTCGGTTGGGCTTGCACGGTGACTGACTGCCAGGGTACTAGACTCTA